GCTGCCGCTTCGTGTAACCCGCCACAGAACGAGCCGCGGGCGCGCAGCGTCATAAGAGCGCGCCCGCCGCCGACCAATGAGAGTAAGGCGAGGAAAAACTCTCCCGCGCAGCTGGAAGGACTAACGGATTCGAGGAGGCGAAACTGTAGGTCCCAGCAGGCCGTGCGGCGCGCTTCCTTCCATGCTGGGGGAAGCATCGCCTGCTGGGAGCTGTAGTCCAGGCCGCGTTGCCTTCTGGGAGCTGAATGGTTAGCAGGCGCTTCTACGCGGAAGCCACTGTGCTGGTCACAGGCGGCACGGGGCGGGGATTCCTAGAATGAGCCTGTCGCGGGGGCTTTCCAAGCACCAATAACCCTTCAGAACTGCTCTTGCGTCACCCCCCCATACACCTATAAAGATTACACATTAAATAGTAAAAACTGAAAAAACAACAAATAGCCTGGTAGCGCCTTAGGGTACGTCTACACCACAGTGTTATTGCCAAATAGCTTATTTCACACACAATGTGAAACACAACATGCATTTTGCTATTTCAAAATAGCACGTCCACACTGGGTGGACGCTGAATCGCATTTAAGATCAGCTGGAACCAGTTCCAGCAGGGCTCCCCGTCAGGACTTACTGCGTGGAGCTGCTGCCTGACGCTATCTGAGGTCTGTGCTTAAAGGGACTGCAACACCCCACCCCCACGACAGCCAGTTCTCAGGTTTCCCTGCTTGCTTGTCTACCTCAATGAGGGACAGCAAAGCATTTTGTCTCAGCATGCTCTTGTTGCCCTCACTCGGGACACCACAGCACTCTGGTGCTTCTCCTGGACGCGTTGCTGTGAGCCTGGCTGCACTTTCTGCAGGCTGCCATCTGGGAGATCCATCGGGTGGTGTCAGTATCCAGGAGGCCCTACGGGAGAGCTTCCACCCTGAGGAGCATTAAGAGCCTCTCTGGTCTGCCCCACTGGGGGCTTGTGCCTCATTCCTCCCTCACATCCTTCCACTTACCCCCTCCCTAACCCCCCTTCCTGATGTCAAATAAAATACACGTATTTTCATGAACACAAACTCTATTTAACAAAACTGGTGGGGGAGGGGGGGACTGAAACTCTGGTGAGACTGGAGAAAGGAGGCAGGAGAGGGGGTGAGAGAGGGGAGGGGGAAAGCTGGGAGGAGGGAGCTGGAAGGGGGAAGCAAGGCGGAGGGGAAGCTCAGGGTTGGGGGTCTCGCCGAACCAACTTGATTTTCATGAGAACCTGCTCCTGGGTTCGCATATGGCCTTTGGTGGCCATGTTGGCAGCTATCCTGCCATAGATGGCCACGTTCCTCTGTCTTGTCCAGAGGTCTTGGACGTTGGGGGCATCCCCC